AAAGCCATGCCAACTTACAGTCTCAGTGATGAGAAATGAGAGGTAAAAAGCACTTTGTGTTTTGAGTAGAACATTGCTTGTAACACTCACACAGGAAAAACCCACATGGAATCAGAAATTACTTGGTGAGAGGGCCACATTTAAATAAAGACTCAGAAAAAATTCTAAAAATGGATCTTTAAGGCATCTGTCCAGGAAAGTGAAAAAAAAAGACGTTTTTGGCAGTGAACACTGAGAAAATCAGGCAGAGAATAAAACAAATTAAAATGAACAGGAACCACATGTCCTGGTTGCTGCCTTGGTTTTGGTGGATCTTGACCTGTCGCCACACCATGTTGCAGAAAGCAAACGTGGGTGAGCAACAGGATGGTGCTCTAGTGCCATTTTATCAGTGTTCTGTTCTATATCAATATTTATTGATATTCTCTTGTCGTTTCCAGTATACTTACTAAACACTCACCCTTTCCCCCCTCTTAGATCCATTCATATTCCTTCTATTTGAGGTTCCTACTCTTATGGCAGAGCAGTGGCAGAGATTACAGCTTCCTGATCCCTGTGGGTCCATGGAGATACCCAGCACTATATCCACTCTGGCATGCTTTCCTCTCCTCATTGCTTCATATTTATGTTTTGGTTATTTTCCCATTTTAGAAGCCAACGAAGAGCAAGGCAGGCATATCTGTCACTCCATAATAAATGGAAGGAAGCCTGGTACTGAAGCACAGATCTAAAACCAGCTTGCTAAAATTTATAATTAAAAAGTTGGAACAATCAGGGAATTAAATACACTGCACAGTAAAGTGAAGATGCTAAAAGGTTCAGTTTCTGAGACAAAGGGCATTTAGAAAACATTAGGAAACTTTTAGAATAATTTTCTAATAGGTGAAAATACAATTAAATGGTAGAGGGAAAGTTAGATAAAACTGAAGGAGCTGGGGAAATGCAAATGCAAAATGAAAATGTGGAAATAAGTGTTAAACAAATTGAAGCAATTGCTGAAAAACTACAATGTGCAGACCACCGGGTGCGATTGAAATTATTTTTAAATTAGAAACTGTACAAAATTAGTAACTATTCTTGAGGATAAACATATTTTCCCACCATCATCGGGGTGGGCAGGGTGACCATTAAAGCAGCGCCTCTGTGGTGTGTCAGAGGTGTCGGGGACACTGCGCTGTAATCGTGCTGTGCCGCCCAGTGGGTCCCAGCTTAGAAACCCAATTGAACAAAAAATGCTGGGCTCGCCTGGCTCTGCCCTCGCACAGAGGCGAGAGGGGACGCGGGCTGGGGGTGGAAAACCCACCCGCGACGGGATGGGTGCGAGGGGAGAGCGGGATCCGCGCTCCTGCCTCACCTCGGGCTGGGTCTTACCCATCACCTGCGGTAACAGGAGCGATCGCACACCGCCACCGGCCCGGCGCCCCACGACCCTCGGGGACCAGATCCCCCATCCCCCGTCCCGGCGAGCCGCCG